CCCTCCCCTCCCCTCCCCTCCCCTCCCCTCCCCTCAGCTCACTCTCCTCTCCCTGCGGCAGGCCTGGATTGGAGATATCCGAGGCAGTGGCCCAGTTGCTTCAGGGAACCACATCAAGGCCAACTGCCGCTGGATTGCATTCAACACAGACTTGGCAGGTAAGATGGTGCACGGCCCAGCCCTGCTAATCAGCATGGGGCACGTTTCTATGGTTGCACTTTGACCTGGCAAGGAGTTTGCAAAAATCCCAAAGTCCAACTGTGTCCCCGTTGAGGGTGGGAACACGGGTTGGGTGCCCCTGAAGCTGGCCACAGCCTGGCTGCTGGGGAGGCTCCAAGGCAGGTGGACAGTCTTCCCTTCTGCCTTCCCCTCCAAGTTTGGCTTGGCTTCTGCACCCCCTCCTCACTGGGCGGCTCCCTCCTGACTTGATTTTCCATCAAGCGTCTCCTGTTGGTTGGCCCCCTGCAGCTAAGAAGGGCTGAGGGGCCTCCCAGTGGCCTTAGGGTTGGAATTTGCAAAGTGGCACATCAGGGGTGGGCTGATTTGGGTGGGAGCAGGCAGGAGAACCCCACTCCCCCCAAGGGTTTTGCTGCCTCCAGTCCTTGTTGTACAGGGAGACCTGGCTGCAGCGTCCACTTTGGGTCAGGTCCAAGAGTGGCCAGTTTCAGAAGCCAGCACACACCTGTCCAGGCTCAGGGCAGCTCTGAGTGGTAGGACAGCCAGGGACAGACTTCCATTCCTTTCGCCTGGCGGGAGGGTTGCTCAGGGGCTGCCCAGACAGCTGGCATCATAGGTTTTGTTTCTGCTCTTGCCAGGCGTGCTTGGCGCTGTGCCTCTGGAGACCCCAGAGGGGATCAAGAGGGTTGTATCTCATCTGCGTTGCCATTCAGGTGAGCTACAGAAGCTGTGGGGGGTGGGGAGTGGCCTTTTTGGGAAACGGGCTAGAAATCCCAAGGGCTGTTCTCCTGCGCAGAGAAATGAAAGGGTTAGTACTTAGCTGAGAAAAAGACTTTTTAGAGGAAGAGAGAACCGCACGAGCTGCTTTCAGTTCTGCTGGCAGGTTGCTTAAAACAAGCATGCCTCTGTTGCAATTGCTCCTTGAGCAGCTGCTGAAAGGAAGGGTGACGCTCAGAATGCGGCTCTGCCCACCCCGCCGCCACAACGGCCTTGTCCTACTTTTGGCAGACTCTGAACCGGCAGGCAAGACTCCCCCAGCCCCAGTTGCGCTGAGCCTCCGTGGCTGAGCTTGCTTGCAGATAGATGGGGGGCGGGGATTGAACTTCCCTGTCCCGAGGGTGCATAGTGGGGGTATTGTGGGAAGGAGCAGCAGCCGTTTCCAGGCCTGGAGGGCCTTTCTGAGTCAGCTGAGCGGCGCCTGCATCTGGTTCTGCTAAGTGCCCAGCCAGGCGGCAAGTCAGGGTCATTGCACCCCACCACCATGGGCCCAGCACTATTGGCTGTCAGCTCAGCTCCCAGCCTCTGGAAGCTGTAATCCGGCAGCCGCACTTCCTTCCTTCCTTCCTGCCCGGTCCTCTCCCTTGGAGGTGGAGGAAGAAGCACCCGGATGTTGGCTGGCCTTGATGTAGCAGAAGCATCGCCTGGTTGGTCACAAAGCCAGAAGCTGCCCCCCCCCCCCCCAGCCTCTGGAAGCTGTACTCCGGCAGCCGCACTTCCTTCCTTCCTTCCTGCCCGGTCCTCTCCCTTGGCGGGGGAGGAAGAAGCACCCGGATGTTGGCTGGACTTGATGTAGCAGAAGCATCGCCTGGTTGGTCACAAAGCCAGAAGCTGCCCCCCCCCCCACTTCCTGAGAGGCCTCTTTGCTCTGGTGGCTTTGCAGCCCAAAGTCTCTGTCGCACTGCAGCCCGGGGGAAGCAGGAGAAGCCCTTGGATGGCCGTCCTTGCTTCCACCCCCATGGAACCCAGAGGATGATGTGGGGTGCCCAAGCCTCCGAGGGCCACAGCTTCTTCAGCACGTAGACCCACTCGTGGAAGCAAGGGGGGGCTAAATCCTCCCCACATGTGGGAAAGCACTTGGGGGGCCAGGGCAGGAAAGGTAGCTGCTGAATAGCCGGTGCCTGGAGCATGATGGGCACGTGCATAGATCGGCAGGGGGGCTTGGAACATGCCTCCTCCTGCCTTGTGGGGTCACCATTGTTAGGGGCTTGCGGAAGTGGGAAATTGCACAGAGAACCAAATGCCTCCCTGAGGATCATTGCCGCACCAGACTCTTCCCCCCCAACCCCCCCATGGGACAATAA